GCTCGCGAGGGGGGCGAAGGAGACAGATGGACGTTGGCCTGTCACCACCACCACCACCATCACCATCATCTCAATCATCATCGTCAGCATCACCATCATCATCGTCAGCATCACCACCATCACCATCACCTCCATCATTATCGCCATCACCATCATGATCACCATCACCAGCATCACCATCATCACCATCAACATCACCGTCATTATCACCATCACCATCACCATCACCATCACCATCACCATCACCATCACCATCACCATCACCATCACCATCACCATCACCATCACCATCACCATCACCATCACCATCACCATCACCGTCGTGGTGATCACCACCACTACCATCACCATCACCGTCACCGTCACCATCACCATCACCATCACCATCACCATCACCATCACCATCACCATCACCATCACCATCACTATCACCATCACCATCACCATCGCCATCGCCATCACAATAACCGTCACCATCACCACCATGATCATGATCATCTTGGGTGATCCTTGGCCCAGTTCCCCTGGCCACGGCGTCTCGTCGCAGTCGTTGTACCATCATCATCACCATCATCATCATCACCATCGTCATCAGCAGCATCATCATAATCATCATCATCATCACCATCATTATCATCATGATCATTATCATGTTCACCATCATCATTATCATCACCATCACCGTCACGCGGTGGCGCGGTGACGCTTCGCCCCGCGCCTCCTGCTCTAGAGACGGCTGCTCCCGCAGTGCGTATTGTGCGCTGGGCTGGCGCGCGTGTGTGATTCGATGAGTCCGTCCAGCAGGAGGTGCGGTTGTTGTGCACCGCGCGCTGTCTGCATGAGGGCGATCATCATTAGCATCGCCATCATCATCACCATCATCATCATCATCAAATCATAGTCACCATCAATGCCACCACCATCGCCATCGTCACCGTCATCGTGATCTTCATCGTCATCCTCATCGTCACCAGCATCGCCATTCCACCATCATCATCACCATCACCATCACCATCACAATGACTATCGCCATCACCATCACCACCACCACCACCATCATCATCATCATAACCACCATCAACAGCATCTTCATCACCACCACCACGACCATCACCACCGTCATTATCACTATCATCGTCATGATACTCATCATGCTGATTATCATGATGATCATCATCATCACCATCATCATCATCATCATCATGACTAGCATCATCATCATCATCAGCATCAACATCGTTATCATCATCAACACCATCATCATTACCATCATCATTACCACCATCACCATCATCAGCATCATCCTTATCATCATCAGCATCTTTAGATGAACGCATCAGCATCATTCTCATCACCATCATTACCATCGTCATCATCATCATCACCTCCCCAACTACCACCATCATTATCAGCATCGTCGTCACAATCATCATCATCATCACCATCATCACCACCACCATCATCAGCATCAGCATCATTATCATCATCACCATCACCGTTATCATCATAATCATCATCATCATCCTCAGCATATTTTTTCCAGATAAGTCATCATCATTATCATTATCATCACCATCATCACTCCTTCACCACCACAATCATCATCACCATCGTCGTCGTCACCATCATCATCATCATCATCATCATCATCATCATCATCATCATCATCGTCACCATTACCACCACCACCATCACCATCACCATCACCATCACCATCATCATCATCATCATCATCATCATCATCATCATCATCATCATCATCGTCATCGTCATCGTCATCGTCATCGTCATCGTCATCGTCGTCATCATCATCATCATCATCACCAACGTCATCGCGGTCCGCAGGCCGCCTTCACACGCTAGCTGCAACGCATCATCGGCCGCCCGGAGGACTGGCTGTCAGTCAGTACGAGGGCCGCGATACTAAAGTTCGTGGGTGGTTTAGTGAGTAGCTCGAGCTTTTGTGGCAGCAGTACCAGCAATAGTGAGCAGCATTAAGTTTGCGACTCTGATCCCAACGCTAGGGTAGGCAGCGAGACGGAGACAGGCTGCGGTGGCGAGGAATCCGACTCCGACTTCAGCGAGGAGGACCCGTGGCTCCACGGGGCCAACGTTGGACTGGCCGATCCCGCAGCCCCTGCCTCTCCCGTTGTGGTTCAGTCGAACACAGCCCAGCGTGAAACCCCGTCCCCGTGCGCCGCCCCTGCCGAGTCGGATTCCGCGCCACCGCAGGGGAGTCCACGGTCCCTGGTTTTGCCAGAGTCCAGCTTTCGGTATTCCCGGGCAGTGGTTGGCAAGAACAGCGAAGTGCTGTGGGGTTCCTTCCTGCTGTCGGGGTCGGCAAAGAGGGGGGTGATGACTAGGGGGGGTGCATATCATGGCGTGGGCCATGATATTTCCTCAGATTTCATGGCGCCTCTTCTCATTACGTCCCCAGCCCCCCCCCCCCTGTGCCGAGCACATGCCGCCGGTCATGATTTGCACCTCTCCCTCTTGGAGGCCCCCCTCTTGGCCGCCCCCGATGCTGCTGCCGCGCCCCATGCCTCTGCGGCTGCTTTCTCCGTGGTCATCAGGTTTTGCTCGAGCGAATTTGGCCCTGTCTCAGCTTTGTTTGCAGCCTGGCTCCAGGCGGTCGAAGGCACCGTGCATTCTCATAACTGCCAGGCCTCTCTCGGCAAATCGCGCGGTGACGCTACTGCGTTTCGTGTTGCCTAGGTGCAGGAAGCCGAGCCTGCGCGCGAGGTGGCCTTGCGTGAAGAAATCGCTAGCTGGTGTGCGAGGTTGGCTACGGTTCGCGCGTCTCTTGCACGGTCTCGCAACAGTGATTTTGGTATCAAGCAGCAGTTCTTCCTCGTAGAGGCCGCCCAGAGGCTTAGCACGGAGATGCCTGAGCATGTGGCTGAGGCAGCCGAGCGTCTTGCCCAGAGGGCGCAGCGGCGTGTGATCAACCAGTCATTGGCAGATTTCGAGTTCTGGGTCGACACGGCACCGGCAGCGAGTGCGTTTCATTGAACGATTCGCGAGCGGCCGCTGGTCAGTGACACGTTAGACATCGGCGGCAAAACTGTCTTTCACCCCAGAGATATCATGGATCACAAGAGGCAGGATTGGACGTCATTGTGGAGTCTGCCTGGCCAGCCGCTCATCGAGCTAGACGACCCTTTCCAGGAGATTCATCAGCGGGTTGCAGCTGAAGCGCCCCGTCCTCTCGATGGTGGTATCCTGCGAGAGGCGTCGGCATATGAAACGCGGTGCCATGGGAATCAATCGGTTGACCCCTGTGGACGCGTTCAGATTGTCAGGTCCAGCCCTCGAAGAGCTGGCCAGTCTCCCAGTTCTGATGAACGCTAGGAACCTTGCTTCCGAAGAAGCTCAAAGGAAACCCAGTGATTGGATTGCTCCCGCGCGTCGCACTTTTGCGGCCAGTGGCTCGCGCTTGCGCTCATGGCCAGGCAGACGCGAGGTCCACTAGGGCGCGCCCAGAGGTATCCACGAGCCGGCCTTCTGATCCAAGTGATCTGGGCCCCCGAGTCCCAGATAGGACGATTGACCAGCGGAGTGGAGAAGGGGAAGGTCCCGTCCCGTGACCTGCCCTACCGCGGCAGCTTTCGGGGCTGCCCGGGGGAGGTGCCCGGCCGTATCGGCCTGCCAGTGGGACCACCTGCACCTGTTTCGCCGGAGCGTGCCTGGGCCCCGCTCGACTTCTGCCTTGCCGCGCCTAGCCCTTTTGGCCTGGCGCCGCCGCTGCTGGGCCATCAGGGGGCGTAAACTGTCCTTTCCTTGTGCCTTCCAGTCCAGTCGTCGCGAATTTCACCATCCAGGAGCTGGACCGACGGCTTCCACATAATGGGTCGAGCTTATTCGCCCACAGTTCCGCCAGCCTTGGTGGTTCCCACCTTGAGCCCTATGGAGGCCCCCTTCTCGATTCGATGCGCGCTATCAGCCGCGGCCTGTCCCAGTCCGCGCAGCTGTTGCCCCGTCGAGCCCGCTGCCGTTGAGCCCCAGGTGGCCGTGGCGTGCGGTCCCGCTCTCTGGGCGCTTCCAACCTTGGCGGCCGCATTCTCGAGCCTCTCATCTGTAGGGCCTCTGGCGGAAACCAATTGCGGATGACCTGAAGATGTTTGGTCATCGACATACAGGCGCGGGTCAATGGCTCGCTTGCCGAGAGAACGATACCGCTCGTTGGATGCCTCCAATCCTGGCGGCCGCATTCTTGACTCTAACTTCTGGGGCCCCCAACGGAAACAATTGCAGGATGCCCTGAGGATGTTTGGTCATCGACATATAGGCGCGGGTGAGTGGCTCGCTTGCCGAGGGAACGATGCCCACTCTCGCTAGCGCTTCGCGGCTGCCACCCTCTAGATGCCTCCAACCTGGGCGGCAACGTCTTGAGTCTGGACCTCCGGCGGCCCTTAGACGCAACAGTACTGGTGATTCGCGGCGTTGACGTCCCAGGCGTGGTGCTCTGGCGCAGTTCAGGATTTACACGATTGTTGTTAGACGAGATGCCTACCTTCGTGAAGATGAATTTTTGCGGGGGCTTGTGAGGAGGGAACTTGGAGGGCGTGTTTACTACAACATCGTTGATGAGTCTTTGGTTTGCACTGGTCCTCCTCCTCCTCATCATCATCTGCCTCTCTCTCCCTCCACCTCCGCCTCCTCCTCCTCTTCCTCCTCCTCCTCGTCCTCCTCCTCCTCCTCCTCCTTCTCCTCCTCCTCCTCCTCCTCCTCCTCTCTCTCCCCTCTCGGAGCCGTTCTGGCGCAGCTTTTGATTGGCAGCGCTTACTGACGTGCATCATTCAGAACGGCTCGCGTCAGCGAGTCAAGTGGCTTGCGATGGGAGGCCAGCGCCCTTGGGTTGCTGCTGATCCTGCTGCTGGCGTCTCTCAGCAGTGGACTAAGCAGGCTTGGGTGCGCCACCCCAAATGGAAGTGCGATAAATGTGGATGTGCTCGCAACTTGGGCTCCTGGTGGTTCTGCAAGCACTGCCGTGCCCCCTG